CGACGCTCTTCCGATCTCTCCACAGTTTATTTATCCCTTCTTGGGATGCGCCACGCATGCTACTTCTGATCGGAATCGTAGTGGCGTTTGAGTGCGATGTGGACTTGCGGGGACCAGCCGATGTACAAGTCAGTGTCCCCATGTTCCCAGACGAATCTGGTACCAATTTACAGTCCACGGAGGGTAGAAGGCCTAGCTGGTCTGGGCGGGAGCCGATAGGGATTTGACCCCCGAGGACTGCGTACGTGGCAAAGGTGCCACTTGCCATTACACTACCTCCGCTTCGCTGTGTACGTATATGACCCAGCGAACAGCGTTAATGCTGGTTGGTTGTGATTAATCGTTGGGAGGTCGCATTTGGCCTTGAAAGAAATTATCCGAACGTAGATTTTCTCTGCTCCAAGGGCGCGATTTCATCCCCTAGTTGGTAGCTCGGCAATCTACATTTCTGAAAATTGATCGAGGGTGTCACTCCCCACCGCGCTTGATAGTTGAATTTCGAAAAATTCTGATAAGAGCGCAGAGCGTAGCTAGGCTGTGATAGGGGGTCATTTTGTAGGCAATTCGGTGGGCGAACTGACACCGCCGTTTCACAAATACACTTCCCTGGTAATGACACCAGGCAAAGTAGTAGTAAAAACCTAAACTACGTCATGAGAAAGTGGCCCTACTAACATGTTTAATGGCAGTTCAAAGGCGCAGTTCGGTTATGTGTGGGCATACGCACGGCACTTTCGCTGATTCACTAGTTTCGGTTTACAAATTTCATTCTAGTGAAACCTGCGAATTCTTGCGAAGCTTGAGCAAGCTCGTCCAGCCATCATGGTATATGGTGTGTGTATGGTATCTCGTTGTTTTACAACGGTTGACAGGTGCATTACAAGAGTTGACAGGTGGTCTAGAGGGCTCGAATTAGTATTAGTTCGTGGCTTCACAAGATTCCACAGGTCTCCACGTGATGGCTCGACACGTCGATGAGAAGTACCAAAAATGCAAAATGCCCCCCCCCACGTCGTCGGACTATGTCGAGATGGCATTCATAAGTAACGTGTTTCGCAGTTAGCCGGCTGAACTAATGCTCCTCCCACATATAAAATTGAATGCCCATTCTCAAGCAGCACCTATCTCAGAATCGGCCAAGGTTTTGACGAGCGGTCAACCGATTCAGAAATGAACAAAGGTTTCGTAACAAAATAAAGTTTAGTGTAGCATTATTGTACTGTTTAAAAAATACGCACCTGAAGTGACAATTCTCTCGTCGGAGAAAGCACCAGCGCAGAGGGGTACTGCTTCTTACGGCCACCGTGAGACATTGTAGGAGGATGTTGGGCACCAGGACCATCCTTAAATGGACACCGAATCACCAAATAAGAATTATCAAATATACATGAGAAAGAATAATAAAA